CTTTTCTGTCACCAAAGTGCTTGCTCATAGGGGATCATATGATTGTTGGGGTTTTCTCTGTTTCCTTTGTATTATAAGGGGTTTATATTGTAGGGTCTTTACCTTACAATATAAAGTGCCTTGAGGCAACTGTTGTTGTAATTTGGCGGTATATATAAATAACATATATTTGTATCATTATGTACAGCTACTTTAAATACCATATTCATTCAGTCTTTGAATTCAACTCTAATTGACCTTTCCTTCAAGCTATCAAGGTGTCTACTATAGCCCACTTCTTCAAGACTAATGTGATACAAAGTGTGATGTACTGATGTCCCTGAGTTGCAGTGTTGTGGTACAGAGTGAGGGCCCAGAGGTGAACGAACAGTCCTCTTTTACTGCCAACAGTGGGGCAAACTGAGTGAGAGTACACTGCTGGGATGTGGACTGAATATCTGTCAAATATCAGTGCTAACGCTAATGTCACTGATCAGTGTATTTATGCTGGATAGCTAGTTACCTAGCACCGTTGCAATTAGCTAAAATGGTCATTCACTCTGGTTTTTGCTGCTGCTCCTCATGAGTGCAAAAGACCAACAGACCATCACGCACCAGCAGGTGGAGACACAGACTTAAGGACTGATCTGTGGCTGCTGCTGTTCATGAGGTGGGCAAATATTAACATTTATGGACTCAGGCTGTTAATTAGAATAAATAGAAAAAACATTGAAGCAACTTCATGATATTGTTTAAGTAAATCTGAATCTTACCTGCACAATAATGTGATGTAGATTTTTAAGCACATTTTTTATGTTTAATATGCTAAATGAGAACAAGTTAGATTTCACTGTAGGATACTTTTGCTCCCCAGTGACAACATCATACATGTCCGCAAGCCTCATTTTTCACCCCTCTGATACAAATATTTGTCTTCAAATGTTTTATAAATTCTTATAGGCCCGTCTCTTTGCTACCACAGTTCTCTTCTATACTGGAAAAGATATTTTACAATAGAATGTATCACTTTCCCACAAAAAACAATGTACTGTATGAACAGCAGTGTGGATTTAGACCCAAAAGAACCACAACACATGCCTTAACGGAATTTAAAGATACAGTAACAACTGCAACTGAAAACAAAGAATATGCTATCTGGAGTTTTTTAGATTAAAAAAAAAAGGATTTGATAAAGTCAGTCACAACATTTTACTTAACAAACTTTGCACATATGGGGTCAGAGGGGTGGCATTATCATGGGTTAACAGTTCCCTTAAAAACCAGAAACTATTTATATAAACAAATAAATGCCATAAAATCAAAATTGAAACCTGTTGTATGTGGGGTTCCCCAAAGATAAGTTTTGTACATTATTGTATATTAATGACATATGTGCAATTTCAAAGTCTTTGAAAATAATATTATTTGCAGATGATGCAAATTTACTGTACTGTGGAAGTAACTTGGAACAACTTGAAAACGAATAAATAATATGAAGGCTTGGTTTGACTATAATAAATTAACATTGAACATGAGTAAAACAAAATTCATGATATTTGGGAATTGTGCATATTCTACAAATAGTAAAGTGACAATAAATAACTTTGAATGAGACAGAGTATCTGGGGGAAAAAATCCGTGGTGTGATAATACATCACAAACTATCCTAGATTCACTTATATTAAAGGCAAAATATCAACGTCTCTTGCAATTCTCTACAAGGTTAAGGATCTCATAAATCAAAAATCATTATATACACATTATATGTATTGTTCTATTATACTCCCGTACATGCTATATTGTGTGTGGAAGGGTAGGGAAACACCTGTAAAACACACACCCATCCAATATACGTTCTGCAAAAAGAGTGATAAGAACACCTGTACAGATGAAGTTAAGAAAAGTACAAAAATACACACATTTGTTTAGAAGCAATAAATTGCATGAATATAGACTTCATCCTCTCAGTGATTGAGCTGTCTCATTGTTTTCTATTGAAGTCTTATCCTTATTTTTATAGATTAAGGCAAGAGTAAATTAAAACATTCATTAAGGTATTTTGCACATAGATATAACTCCATATGAAGCAATGTCAAACATAACTGGTAATTAGTTACATTTACTTCTTCGAAATAAACTATTCTATCTATCTTACAGTGTTTATCATCCATCTGTTTTAGTCTATAACTATAATTTCTTCTACCTAATCCTATACACTGTACATAAGGTGTGCTTGCTGGCAAACAACCTGTCAATCACATCTCGTTTGCCAATGAGTCTAAAGCATCTCTCAGTTTCTCAGCCAGATCCGCTTCTTGTTCATGAAACCAACTCTCTAAATATCAAGATGAATAAGGTGAAAACAATTAGCTGAAATCTCTTAATGAGACTTCAACAACCAGTGGGTGATGTTACAGCATCTCCATCCATCTATACCTCATCCTGGCAATGACTAGTGGTGCCTAAACTCTTCAGTTATTTTTTATAGTCAAGCTTTATTTGGTTAAATGCGAACACTGAAAAAACAAAAATGAAAACAGGATTTCATGATGTCTGCAGCTTTAATAATAAGGACAAAAAGTTACTTCTGCCAGTGCAGCACTTGGGTGTTCTTTTCACCATGCATGTCAGAGGAGACCTGAGGGGTACTACAGAGAAAGTTCAGCAAAGCCAGACTTTCTTTGACTTGATAAAACCTAAAAACTCAGCCAGAGACAATAATCGGTATCTCAGTAGTGTTTTTTTTAACTTTCTGTATTAACTTAGGCTTTCAGCTTCATCATCAGCACAGTTGCTGCTGCTGCCCATCTTCTTTCTGCAGTGTAGGACACAAGTCAACACTTGGATTTAATAAACCGTTTGCTTCAGCAGAGAATTGTCCCCATAAAACGTACTGTAAATACAAGATTAGGTATTTTTAAAAAATGCTCTTCCACATTATTTTAAATGAAACTGAACATAATAAGCTGCCAACAAGATCATTATGGTAACACAAGTTACAATTTTAGCTCAGCCAGGTAAAAGGAGACCAACCTTCATGACACTGAAAACTCTGACTTTAAGCTCAACATTTAAGCTCAACATTTAAGCTCAACATTTAAACTCAACATAGTTAATTAATGAATTAATCTCCCTCTGAAATGAGCCCAGGTCTGCTGGGTAACTAGATAACATCTGGCTTTTATGTCAGCTGTAATAGCAAGACTGAGAATGTATTACATATTTATTCATATTTATATAGCAATATTTCCAACACCAATATTCAGAATGATTGACTGTCATGTTTTATGTACTATTGCTAAACTTAAAACTGAACCCTTTGTGTTTCAGTCCTTGAGACTCCTGTTTGCATGTGAGTACCAGGTCACTGTGTTTCTTCCAGAGTGGGGATCATCTTAGGATGTGGGGACTGTGTATATCCTCCATGTCATGGTCTTTGGTTTTGAATTTTTATTCCCGAGTTTTATTCTCTGCCTGGGTTTGTTCCAGTTGAGGTCTTAAATTATTCTTAGTTTATTTTGTTCTTTTTTTGAGCTGTAATACTTTTTTGTAAACTTTGAGTTCTGAACCTTTTGTACTGGTTTAGATCATGTATTGTTCTCGTGTTAGTTTTGAATTCTGGGATTTTATTAAGCTCCATGTAATGTTTTAAAGTTGTTGGTCGTGTGTTTAGATCCCTCAGCTTCTTTTGTATCAAGGTTTACAGGTGTCTTTTGGGTTTTTTAAGATTTTTTTTTTTTTAATGTGTCATATCAGGGGTGTCGAACTCCAGGCCTTGAGGGCCGGTGTCCTGCAGGTTTTAGATATCACCCTGGGTCAACACACCAGAATCACATGATTAGTTCATTACCAGACTTCTGGAGAACTTCAAGACATGTTGAGGAGGTAATTTAGCCATTTAAATCAGCTGTGTTGGATCAAGGACACATCTAAAACCTGCAGGACACCGGCCCTCGAGGCCTGGAGTTTGACACCTGTGTGTTATATGTTAGTTCTGCTTCCTGTCTGTGCCTTCCTCGCTTCCCTGATTGTCTTTACTTGCCTTAATTAAGTTCAGCTGTGCTTTGTTGGCCATCTGTCTCCTGCTGTGTAGTCATCTCTTTGTGTGTATGTATTTCCTCCATTGGTGTGTTGCTGTTTCCCTTTTTGATTGTGAATATTTTGCGTCTGTGTTTTTTTTTTCCCATTTGGACACATTTTAGATATGCCTCCTCCATCCTGTGTTTGGGTCCTCAGCCATCCCCCATACTGATTCTGGCACATACGAAATGAAATAACAAAACACTGGGTTAAAAAATGAGGGAAAACAATGGGTGCACAAAAAAGGGAAGGCTTAAGATACAAGCTATGCAAATCAACCATCTAGGGCTGATTATTTGAGCTTAAAGTAACTTTGTATGTTTCTGTTTCTGAGATTCCAAAAGGTACACGTTTAGCACTTAATCCACTGTGACCAGTTTCTATATCTGTCTTTTATATCTGCATAATGATGATGATTATTACAGAAAGTTACTTTTGAGTTCAATTCTCCTCGAGAACATTTGCTCGCTCTTGGTTATTATCAGTTGGTAATAAATGCAGATATTAGAAATATAATGTGCAGTATAGCTAGATTCAAAAAGTCCCATATACCATAAAACTAAAATGTTAAGCACTTTATTGTCTGAGAGTGTGGTCATGCTGCTTCTGCTCACCAAGGCATTTAATGGTTCTGTATTAAATTGATTGATTTAACTAGTGAGTCAGATATTTAACCTGTTTTGTTATTCAGTCTCTGGGTTTAAGCTTCACTGGGGTCATTTATTTCACCTCATTCCACAGGGTCTGCAATGTGTCTGCATGCTTCAGCTCCACGCCCAACCACATGTACACAACCCTCCAACACTCATTTGGTGATGGCCCAACCCCAAATAACTTCCATTCTGGTCTGACAGACCAATGGCACCCCGTCCCCGGAGCACATGGGAGGAGAAAGTAAGCGCGAGGGTGCGACAGAGGGAAAGTACGAGGATGAGACCGAACATGCCAGAGTCTGCATAAATGATCCGAGAGTCAAGAGGAGGCTCTGAATCAGCTGAGAGTTTTGCGCGGACCTGGTTCTGATGTGGTCCAGTAGGAAGAGGCTCATCAGGCTATACAGAGGAGATTTTCAAACAGTCCTCACGACTTCATTCCTGGTTTTGAGTCTGTATATTTTGGAATAATCAGGATAAACTCTCAGAAGAAAGGTGAGTGTGTGTGTGCCTGCCTGCCTGGCTGGCTGCTTGAGCTCTGACAGAAGACCTCAAAGAAGTGTCTCCCCCCCCCCCATGTCACTTGGTGACATGCTCTGATTCATCAACACATAAGTACGACTGTCCTCATCAAGTCGACTGAGAGAGAGAGATGAGAGTGAATAATTCAAAATACCTGAGCGTCTGATGTCCTAACACACATTTACCGGATGTTTGAGCTGAAAGCAGAGGCATCCATTCATCATTAGTGGCGTTCTAAGTTTGGAGGCAGTGGTGATTTCCACGCACATGTCAGTGGTTTAATTTTGTCTGAAGGGATGCAAAGCGGAGACTTAAAGTGAATGATGAGAGCACTAATGGAGAGACAAAGGCTGCTTCATGAGACAAGAGAGGTAAACGCAGAATAAGCTTATTTTTAAAGTGAAGCTATACTAGTGTTTCAGATCTGTGAGAGTGACTCTTTCTTGTTTGCTTCTTTTCCCCACAGATGTCATGAAGCGGAGGGATTCAGTCAGATAACCTGAGATCATAAAAGACTCCTCATCATCATAAATTCTGCCAATTCTGAGGCCCTAAAGAAGTTCTGTCTTGAATATTTCACTGTACACTTCCTGGACTGTCATGGATTCCCACAGCGGTCCCTATCTCAACCATAAGGCTCTCTGCTCACCTCTGGGTGCAGCCCGGCTATGTCAGTTAGCTTTGGGCTGTGCTGTGATCGCGATGGTGACCCACACTGCTGGCTACAGCGGCTCACACGGCGTGTTCTGCATGGCGGCGTGGTGTTTTTGCTTCGCCATGTCAGTGCTGGTGTTCTTCCTGGATGCAACTCGTCTCTACGGCTACCTGCCCGTATCCTGGGACAACCTCACAGTCACGTGTGCTGCCTTTGCAACGCTCATGTAAGTCACAGAGTCAACCTTTGAACTGGAAGTTACATTTTGACCACCTTTCACTCGTCATACCAGTTTTTTCACATGCAGCAAATTAATATCCACCAAACAAAAATACCCACATACATGTAACGGATAAATTATTGCATAAAAAGAAACAAACATTATCTTCTGAGTCCTTTTAGATGAAGAAACAATAAAAATATATGCACACCATGATCCAACGTCTCCCACTGGCAAATTCTCGCAAGAATTAATTAATTAAATCTGCTATTTAATCAACGGTGGAAAAAAATGACAATTAATAATGTAAAACTGCTGCTCAGTGATGAACAGCAGATGATTATCATTCGACTACAGTTTTCTCCAGCTTTAAGAAATATTTTTGCACTTTCCATTGCACTTTTTTTTTACAGTTAGCAACTGTTGCTTATCACCGTCAGTGTTTTCCAGCATCAGGCAGTTAAAAGACGATTTTGATAAATCTTCTATATGCTCTGCACTCACTTTTTGCACAGGCAAGGTTGGCACTGAGCTGCTAAATATTTATGTACATAGGTGAAAAGATGCCTTTTTTCTAAAAACTACATGACTTAGCAGGCAGATCTGAAATGTGAGTTAAATACTGGACTCAATTCATCAAGTGTCCCTCCAGATAAATGCTTCTGTTGCTATACTGGATGTGCTAAATGAATAAACGCAGCAAATATTCACCACATCAAGTTTATGGAAAATGAACAGGACTTATATACAATGTTTCTACTCAGCTGAGCAGTCAGAGAATTTCCTACAAGTGTCATTCACCCACTGACACCCAAACACTCATTTATACCGTGTTTTTATCTAACGTCTAATCGCTTTCTAACACACTCACACACACACGCACTGATAAGGAGTCAGGGATCTGACTCTACCACCTATTGTGTATTGTGTTTAAAAAAGCACAAACAAAGAAACCTACATAGTTTTGACTAGATAAAAATATTGCAGTTTGAGATCTTATAACCTGGTCTTTACTGCTAAACACACTTGGATCAGGTGTTGTTAAATTGTGAGACTTTAGGGATATTTGAACTGTTCTTGATTACAGCCATCTTTAAAGCCAGACTGATTTTAGTACTGACTTCCTGTGTAAACACACCTCTAATCAACTCTTACCTATGTGGCTGAAAGAGTCACAGCTTTAACAGAGGTAGAACGTTAACCTTTCATTGCAGTACTGGGCACATAATCACACTACTGTCACTGTGTGAGGTTTTTTTACGGGACTTTTGATCCTGTACAGCAGCGGTCCCCAACCTTTTTTGCGCCACGGACCGGTTTATGCCCGACAATATTTTCACGGACCGGCCTTTAAGGTGTCGCGGATAAATACAACAAAATAAAACTAGTACCGGTACCGAAAAAAAGAAGATTTATTCATAACACAAAAGACCCAGGAAAACCGAGTTAACGATAAAAACGATAACAGAATAACGCAGAAAACCGATAAAAACCCTGAAAACTATACATTTCACACCTGAGCCTCAACTCTCGCGGCCCGGTACCAAACGACTCACGGACCGGTACCGGTCCGAGGCCCGGGGGTTGGGGACCGCTGCTGTACAGGATCCATACACTATCAAAATTACACATACATGCTGAAAAATCTACATATATCTTTACTAATATTTGGTTAAATGTCCCTTAGCAAGCTGTACCTTGGCCAGACCTTTGCAAAGTGATGATACGAATAAATAACTTGTACATGGGTACAGTTGTTTGAAGTGATGATCTTAGAATCTGCAATTGTTTAGAAATAGCTCCAAGAGACTTTCGAAAACAACATTTTGCAAATTTGTTGCAGTCAGAAACTTGTTTCCAGTTATACCAAAGCAGTTATAATGGGAAGGTTAAGGGTCAGCCTCACTCATAATTTAATGCCATAACTTAGAAAATAAAACAAAGGTTCCTGCTGACCTATTAAAGACTGCACAGTGTATATTTTATATAGTGTATCTTATGAGACGTTACAGACATAGTTGTAAATGTAACTCTGGTTTTCTCAGATTTAATAAACTCATATAGTTTTTCTTTCCTTCTTCTGCAGGTATGTGACAGCCTCTGTTGTTTACCCTCTGTTCTTTGTGCAATCCGAGTGCCCTTACGCTGGCTGTGATGTCAGAAATTTCCGCATTGCCGTCACCGTCTGCTCCATCCTGGGGACTCTGGCCTACGGGGCGGAAGTGGCCTTGTGCAGAGCAAGACCAGGCCAGATTGTGACGGGTTATATGGCCACAGTGTCCGGCCTTCTCAAAGTTGTTCAGGGCTTTGTAGCCTGCATCATCTTTGGTGCACTGGCCAACCGGAGTCAGTATTCCCAGTATGCAGGCACAATCTACTGTGTTGTTGTCTATGCTTTCTGTTTTGCTCTCACAGCACTGGTGATCATAATGACTGTATGCAAGCGGACCAAGGCTGTGTGCTGCATGCCCTTTGACCGCTTTGTGGTAGTGTGCACCCTCCTCGAAGTACTGCTCTACCTGAGTGCATCAGTGGTGTGGCCAGTGTTCTGCTTTGACACAAAATACGGCTCCCCATGGAGACCGTCGTCCTGTCCACAGGGGAAGTGTCCGTGGGACAGCAAGGTTGTGGTGGCCGTGTTTTCCTTCGTCAACTTTGGACTGTATTTGGCCGACCTGATCTATTCCCAGAGGATAAGATTCGTCTCCTCACATAGGCCCAGCAACTCGCGGGCCTAGCAATCCTTATTTGGCATTGGTTTAAGTTATTTATTTGCCTCAGTTTATGATTTTTAATATTTAAAACTATAGAAAAGGTACATTTGTAATGCACAAGTTTCCCAACCCAGGTGCTGCACTTACTCTGCTGCTGAGACATCATGAATTTGAACTGAAAGCACTCTTGTGGAATTTCACTGCCACACCCTACCATGGCAAAACTGACCCCTTCTTTCTTAGGAGCCAGCCTTACCCAGACAGTCTGGACCCAATGTATGTCCTGCCGAATCCTCAAAATACAAGACACTCCCACTATTCTTGACCTGTGACACAACACACACTTCCTTTCTACTTGTATTTTTGGTCAAATAATACATAAAAGTCTTGAATATAAATAGCAAACCTGGTTTTGGCATCCATGGCATCCCTGTCATCTGCGAACCCCACACCAACGATCTACGGACTCAGGCTGCCAAAAATAAACACGAGCCGTCTGCACTCATAGTAAAGCCATGACACAGCATTTATAAGAGGCTGGTGTCTTTAAAGCCTCTCTATGAAATGCTTTCCTCAGTCTATGCAGATGAGGAGAAAATTATCAGCCGCCCTGTAAGATTTAAAGTTTTTGTCAAAATTTTCCCAAGCGCCTTTTTTAACAGAGCAGGGGATTTTCCGCATAGCTTTTCTAAACAAACTAGTTTTCTTAAGAAAGCGTAGATTATTTCTGTTTGCACCCAATAACGAAATAATTTCAGAAAATAACAAAGAATTACCAAAATCAATTTAAACAGAGTATTAAAACTTCAGCAGTGTTTGAGCTGTTGCTTGAGAAAGCATCATGCCAAAAGCCAAAAGAAATCAGTTTAGACTTGAGAAAAAGAATCGCCGATGCAAAGCATGGCATGACTATACAAAGTTATTACAGCATTTCAAGAACTGGAGAGAGAGGTATCGTGAAGAAGGTCAAAGAGAGCCACAGAGAACAGAACAAGCAATACTCTGGAAAGAAAATGTGATGTGATGTTTAAAGATCCCAGAAACACTGCCAAGACACTATCGAATGACTTAGCCAATTCTGGATGCTATTGCAGTCAGGACTCAGCAACCCTGTACTGTGAGATTGCATAAGAGCTCCACTTCTGCAAAAGATAAACCTTCAAGCCAGACTGAAGTACGCTAATGACAACCTGGAGAAACACTGGAGGCGCATCCTTTGGTCAGCTGACACAAAACTAGGGCCACAGACAGACACAGCTTATGTTTGGAGAATGACTTGTAGCTGCCTCCGTTTATCTTAAACTGGGAATCTCTACGCACCAAGGGACACTATGAGCATGGTCATGGTGGCCAAGAAGTGTTTATACAGTCTCACAGAGTAATCACATATAACTCAATATGTGTCCTTATTTTGCTTTTTCTTGTGTTCTGTCACATATGTACACATTGTTATGTTACATATATTGTTACGATGGTGGATGCTCATGTTAAACATAGCCAGGATTCAAATAATGAGGTCAAAGTATGTAAAAAAGCCAAGTTTCAGACATCTTTTTTCTACTCTTGGGTCTGAATGATGTCATAGAGAGTGTATATGAATATTATGGCCATCTTGGGCACAGAGCTCTGGCTTCAAACGAACTGTTTGTAAGGGGTAGCTAAGCCCCCAGTATATGGTAAGCTGTGAATAATGCAAAGTTACTCTAGTTAATATTATGGAGATGGAAATGAACATAATAGATCCTGTTTAACTGATAGTTAAAAGGGTTGTACTATCCTTATTAAAAATGACCTGTGTGATAATCCTTGTAAACCGTATTGAGACACTATGTGATTTTACATTCAAATAAACTCAGATTTGTTGATTTAAAGCTTCTGTAATAACGTATCTTCCCATGAGTGAACTAATTAGTGAATCTTTGATTGGTGATCTCTGATATTTGTAGAGACCAAAACAATAATGATAACACCAATTATTGTCCTTGCTTTTGTTTTTGTATGGAAACTTGATTTAAAATGAGCTCTAATGTTGCCCTGCACACCATCTTTGATGACATCCTGGTGCTGTGTTTAAGGCTTGTGCTGCCACCAAGTGTCAAAATAAATAATGAATTCAGCGCACTATATTATATAAAATATGTTTACATGTGTTTCACCACACATGTAATAGTCTCTACGTACATTCCATTTCTCTGAGCAGAAAAAAATGTCAAACCTTTGAGCTAAACTTCAATGAGTTTTGTTCAGATTTTACATTCACCTCTGGAGTCTGTAGACATGAAGCCAAATGACCTGCATCATGCTGCCGCTGCCACACGACTGAGGTGGTGAAACACAACCTGTGTAATGATGGGTGGAAGTTTGTCAGTGTGAGGCTTGAATTATCTCCAACACAGGACTGCTTGTCTATGTTCACAATGTGCCATCTCCTGTATGAGCCTCTTTCCTTTTCCTTTCCTTTCTTTAACGTCTTTCTAATGTGCAAATTCAGGATGACATCAGTCATTTTGATCGTATGACCCATCAGATCTCCAGAAACACTCTTCAGGCTTTGGTTGTAGATCATTAAATTGCTAGACGGTCTGATTTTTTTACGCCGCCATATCTGTGCACCTTCAGGGGGTAAAAAGGCGCAAAGACGGGTCTTTCTCTGTCTGTGGTGCTAGCATTCACAGGGATAAAACACAAGAAGAGATCTGATCCGCTCAGCCTCTCTTTGTTCTCCTCCATTAAGATTTCTCTCTCCTCCACATTTTCACACTCCCTCCCTGGATTTATTTCTCACACATCATACCAGTTACCTCCTCCTCCTCTTTGCTTTGGTCACCTCAGTGAATCTCATCTCTCTAATCCAGGATCAATGTAGTGCCCTGTCACATCTGTGAGTGCTATGGATGTATTATAATAAGTCCTCGGGAAGCTGCTGTGGCACAGCATACGTCTCGCAAAAACTGTTCTTGCTGCTCAGCAGCAAATCCGCCACCAGTTGGCTGCTCTCATCTCCAAATCTGTCTAAGACAGCAGAAAACGTCACTGTGCGACTTGGAGATTTGCTATTTTCAACATTGTGCCAATTTATGGAAATTAGTAAGTAAATACAAGTAAATAAGATATACCAGATTATCTGAAGAGGGTTTATCTAAACTGCTGGGCTTTGTAGCAAAAAATAACTTTGTATTGTTAAAGTAATATTTTTATGTTGTGTCTGTTGCTCTGAAAGCATTTAGATCCTCTTATATATTCTGCTCAATTATTTCTGTTAGCTAGCTCTCTGGAGGTACTGCTTGATCCGTGTGTACTCTTCTCTGGGGTTATATTTCCAGAGTGAGATGTAACATCAGTTGAATATGACAGAGCCCAGAGAAAGCTACGACTGAAAATGATGGACACTGTCACCACAGAGCAATCTGCAGCTCAGTCGAGGCCTGCATTCTGCCCGCTCCTCCGCAGACCTCCATTCAGCAGCTGTTCCATGTTTGGCACTCATTTTTCCTCTCTATCCCAAGGGCCTCTGTCTTAAACATAGCAGTGGATGAAGTCGCCTGACAGAGATGGTATGCGGCAGGTGTCCATCATAACTGTCCCCTCCTCACCTTCCTGCTGGGGGCACATGGAGCGACGGCTGGCTCACTGTTGTCACTAATCTCTGATGGCACATGTTGTTGGTGTCAGATTCCCCCTGCGGATCTCAGCTCTCGTTTTGCCAAATGTTGGGTGGAACAATGCTGAAGTCTTGATTTTTGGTCCCAGTAGATCTCAGTCTGCTACTGTATGCAAAACAGTGTGGGAGCTTAGTATGAAAGCAACGGCATGGTACTTAACAGACACATCCAGCATTATGTAATCAGCTTCAATATTGATTGCATATGTTGCTAGGCTACTGAACGGCATGCCATCACAGTGTGTGGTGTTGAACCTATATTGTGAAAATCCGATGTGTTTACTGAATTGTGTTTTGTTTGCCTGAATGAAATGACAGAATAGAATGTAAATAAAACAGAATGCAATGATTTGCAAATCTCATAGACCCATATTTCATTCACAATAGAACACAGAAATAATATTTCTAATAAAAAAAAATACTGAATATTTAATCTGAGAAAATGCACCATTTTAAGAAAAATATCTCATTTTGAATTTGATGGCAGCAACATGTGGATTGGGAAGGACCATTTTTACTACTGTGTAGCATCGATTCTTCTTTAAATAACAGTCTGGAAACTGAGGAGGACAGTCGCTGAATTTTTGGGAGGAGAATGTTGCAACGCTTGCCTCAAGGCGCTTTATATTGTAAGGTAAAGACCCTCACATAATACAGAGAAAACCCCAACAATCAGACAAATCACTATGAGCAAGCACTTGGCAACAGTGGGAAGGCAAAACTCCCTTTTAACCGGAATAAACCTCCAGCAGAACCAGGCTCAAGGAGGGGCGGCCATCTACTGCAACGGGTTGGGGATGAGGGGAGGGAAACAGGATGATGCTGTGGAGAAGAGCCAGAGAATAATAATAACTAATGATTAAATAGGTTACCGAGTAGCATGTAAGCACATAGTGATCAGGGGGAAAACTCAATGCATCATGGGAAGCCCCCAGCAGCCTAGCCCTATTGCAGTGTAACTAAGTGAGGAATCAGGGTCACCTGATCCAACCCTAACTATATGCTTTAGCAAAGAGTAAAGTTTGAAGCCTGATCTCAAAAGTAGAAAGCATGTCTGTTTTCTGAATCCAAATTGGAAGCTGGTTTCACAGAAGAGGGCCCTGAAAGCTGCATACCATTCTACTTTTAAATACCCTAGGATGGCAGCATATGTTTCTCTAAAACCTTTCAGCTTGCATTGTGCCTTTCCAGATGTACAGACTGACAATACCAAACAAGCACCCCCGCATTTCTACCTCTATAAAATGCAAGTGTGATGTAAACGTTTGAACTGAGCGTTGATGAAAACTGGTGAACAAAAGACAAATATTTTCTGGTGACCTTTAGACCACAGTTTGCTCTCCTCAGACCTCTCATGGCTTTATCCACACCACACGAGAGCTATAGTCAAGCGGTAATATCATCCTGGTAAGCGAAATACAGGTACCAAGGATAGAGACACAGAAGGAGTATATTATTGAGGCTTCTCTCCCACAGATTCTTCTGGGATTTACAGTCTGATTTGTTCCTGAGATTTTGAGATGTGCTGTGGGAAATCCTTTATTAGTTTTGGGTTTGACATTCAAATGAAAGCTGACATTACACTGGATGCCTTAACTTCCCTGCTGCCATTTCCTTTGTATTCTGTCTTTGCCGCTTATTCTTGTCTCAGACTGCAGGAGGGTGATGTATGGCAACACTTGGGAAAGATTTCTGTCTGTCTGTGATATTAAATATGCACATCTCCCCTCACTCACCAAAGCTACTTTTCTCTCTCTCGTTCTCACATCGTGAAGAACACAAGCACGAATACACACCTCGGGCCCCTAATCACTGCAAGCAACAATTTGTTGTGAACGCTTCACCTAGATCTGCTTTCTGCTGTTGCTGAAAAGAGAGAGAGAGAAAAAAAGATTTGTGCTCTACGGGTATTTTTAATAAATCTCTCGGGGTTTTGTCAAAAAAAAGAAAGACAGAATGAGTGTTGTCACGCCTCAGCACACATACCGAGTCTGAGTGATAGATAGAGCAGAGGCAGGCAGTGGTAAATTGACTTTGTCTGTCTGTCAGACTGAGAGGCAGCGTCGTGGGGATGTATCTCTGTAAATTTCAGCTAGTTTCAGATTAGGTTCATGGAACAGATTTGTGGGTAATTAGCTTATTCTGCAACCAACAAGAGGAAGAACACTGACACTTTGTATCATCAGAAGAGAATATTTTTCCCTAATTCCCAACAATTTTCCCTTTTCTTCTGAATATAAATGCATACAAATGCAGAGACAATCTTCTTCTCAATCCTTCTGCAGAAGGAAAAAGTGTCTGTGTTGTTTTAGGGATATTTAACAAGCTTGAGGAAGAATGCACATTTTTGCAGTTGCACACAAAAAATTTATTCTTTTCATTCAAATATGCTCAAATTTTATTGTTTAGGTAAGGAGAGGGGAAGGACAGGGGAGACATGGTGGTGGGTTTGAATGTACTGGTCTCCTGAGGGCTTTATGGAGTCCGCATGTTCTGCCTGTGTAGATTGTCTCCAGGTACTTCAGCATCCTCCAACAGGTAGGTGTGGATGTGAAGAGTGTGTGGTTGTCTTACTTATTCAATTCAATTTTATTTATATAGCGCCAAATCACAACATAAGTCGCCTCAAGGCTACTAAATACAAATACAATGGTAACTAGTTCCGGTTGTATCCCCCCTCTCACCTTGGAACAGCTTGGAAAGGCTTCTGTGACCCTTTGGCAATCGAAAATCTTTCTGACCTAAAGTAACTGATCTAAATCTGAATTTTCATTTTCTGGATGATTGGCCAAATGGTTTCTAGGCCTTTGTGAGTGTGGATGGATGGATGGATGGATGGATGGATGGATGGATGGATGGATGGATGGATGGATGGATGGATGGATGGATGGATGGATGGATGGATGGACTTTTGAGAGGACTCAAACGTTAATCACCCTTCAAGGCTTTTTGGAGGTAATCCTTGCTGACCTCAACATATGATATACTGATATGTAGAACCATCAGCTGCTCAATCCTGGGTCTATACTACACAATGTCAACCAAATGATGGCATACTCAAATAATGTTGAGGTGAAAATTAGTATCATGGATCACAGTGATGATGGGTTTCTAAAATGTATTTATTTTTTATCTTGCATATTGTGTTGTAAACAAAATCTGGAAACGTTTTTGAGTTGCTCCTACAGAGATGTTCAAACATAAATACAATAATCTTAGAATTTATTTTGAGTCATCCACAGTGATTTCCTCACTTCTATGAAGGTTGACCAATATTAACACAGAGTGCACAGATTTCGCAGCACTCTGTTCTTCTTCCTCTGCCGACAAGTTTTATACACATGCCGATTTCCTTTTCCAGCAGGACTTAACACCTGCTGACAGTGCCACACAGACTGCCAAAGCTACGACAAAATGTTTGCCAACCATGTTATTACTGTGGTTGACCGACCAGCCAAATCATCAGACCTGAACCCCACGAGGAATCTGGGGAATATTGCCAAAAGGAAGACGACAAACACCCGACGCAAAAAGAAAGTGAAGGCTGCTATCAAAGCACCCTGGGGTCTATTAACACCTCACCATGGATTACCTCCATGCCACACTCCACTGATGCAGTGATTCATGTTAAAGGAGCGCAGAGTAAAGAAACTAACATACTTTTCAGGAGTTGGACATTTGTTTTATGATCCTCTGCACAACATTTATTGCCATATCTATAAAAACTTTACACTTTAAGTATGTTTTTAGTATTTATAATCATTAATAATCAGTATTTAGAATTTTACCCCTTTAAATGAGTAATATTTTATTATGTATTTCACTATTTTCTCACCTACACTAGTGCTAAGATTGACCTGATACTGAAAATTTAAAGACACGTCAGGCAGAAATTCTCCACAGTCTCTATTTATCCCACATTTTCAGTCTAAACAGGTAGAGGAACACTGTGTGTTTCATCACTTGCCACACTGGTGGGTTTAGTACTTTTCATAAAAATACACAAAAGTACTGATATTTATAGAGGTTTGTCTTTGTACTTCAGAAGTCATCACCTCATTTTTGTGATTCTGTGCTGCAGACAGCAAATCTTCTACAAGATTGACGTTTTGATCAAATGCACGGAAAGCATGAGTCATCAAAACATTGCGGGTTACCAGAATTGGCTTGAGATATTTTAGGGAGCTGAATATGAATAGACGATTGTTATTCTAACAGGAGACTGCGGACCAGTTCTTCTTTTTTCTTTCCCCTTAGAGTTGACAGAATTTGAAATAAAGCAGAACTGAATAGCACATACGCTAATGAGCTATGGAGTATGAATACAGTTTGGCTGCCTATCCCTTGGTATTTCACCAGCACATATTCTCAGAATTAGCCAAGAACTTGTCCTGTAACTGTCAGTTTAATGCTAAAA